TGTAGTCCCAGCTACTCGGGAGGCTGAGGCAGGAGAATGGCGTAAACCCAGGAGGCGGAGCTTGCAGTGAGCTGAGATCCAGCCACTGCACTCCAGCCTAGGCGACAGAGCGAGACTCCGTCTCAAAAAAAAAAAAAAGAAAGAAAATTTCTAACATGGAATTTATTATTAAAAATACTAAAATAGGCCAGGCATGGTGGCTCACGCCTGTAATCCCAGTACTTTGGGAGGCCAAGGCAGGTGGATCACCTGAGGTCAGGAGTTCGAGACCAGCCAGAACAATATGGTGAAATCTCATCTCTACTAAAAATACAAAAATTAGCCAGATGTGGTGGCATGCACCTGCAGTCCCAGCTACTCAGGAGGCTGAGACAGGAGAATTGCTTGAACCCAGGAGGTGGAGGTTGAAGTGAGTCAAGATCGTGCCACTGCACTCCAGCCTGGGCAACAGAACGAGACTCCATCTCAAAAAAACAAATTAATTAATTAATGGCAATTACTAATCAAACAGTCCTGTACAATTATCAGAGGTATTCATTTCACTTTTCATTTCCATAAAAGGACAATTATTATAGTATTCACATCATTGGTTTGTTCTGAGGATTGAGTTAATAAAATAGTGAAAGAGTAAGTGCTATGTTAGCTATTATTATTGTGAATAAAAAGAATTGCTCTTCCTCCTCCAATTTAAACAAATCAAAGTGGGGAAATCCAATAATTTTAATACTATTAAGATACAATTTTCTCTGCTGCTTTAAAAAAAAAAAAAAATCACAGGGCAGGGGAGTGTTGGAAAGCATCAGCCACATTTCTTAAGATAAAGGCACCCATGGACACTACATTTAATAACTCTAGGAAAAACTCGATGACTTTAAGCAGAACTAAAGGGGAAACGAAACTAGAGCTTCCTGTATTTTACGTCCAGCAATTGTCATTATACCGCACACCAACAATACACACCTATCAAATCTATTACTTTTTCTTTATTAAGAAAAAAACTGTACCTCTCTTGGTTTACCACCTAAATATAACCCCAGTCTATATCATTAACTTAATTCGTTAGTCAAAACCTCAAAACTCTGGCTCCATGACTCAATACAGGAAGCAAGAACAAGAGCAAAAAGAATGGATGCCGAGTTGCCATACACATGTGTGATAACCAGCAAGTGACCCAATTTAAATCATCGGCTTGCATTAAATCACGCAACCCCCGAAGTATCCCCAGAACAGGTCCCGCCAGCATGACCACTTCGTATGCATCACAAGAAGCCATCAGTTAAGTTTCACGTACGGTCAAAGGAAGTCATATGACTTGCCCTTTGAAATGTTTAATACTGCAGTCAAATGACTCGGCATCCTGAAGAGCGTGTAAGAGGCAGGGAAAGCAATGTCACTACAAATTCCGGGAAGGAAGCTTCCCCAGATTCCTCCACTTGGAGGTGGCTCTAGGCCTCAGGTTAGGAGGGAACAGGGTAGAAAGCAGCACAGGTGCGGCGCATTTGCAGCGAGGAGACACCCCAGGACAAACAGCCTGACTCCAGCCAGGGATATACAAGAAAGGCCGCGACTCCTGATAACCCCTTACGCCCCGGAGCAGCCTCGCCTGCAGAGATCTCCGCCACCCAGCCCCGGCTCTGCCGCGGTGAGGACCTGCGGGTTGGGGTGGACTGGACACTGTCCCACCCATCAAATTGTGATTTAGGAGCCGTGACATCCGAATGCCATCCTCCACTGGCGAGACCCTCAGAGCAGCCACACCCCTAGCGACTGTCCCAGTGGCCGGGGGTCGCGCTACTCACCCAAGGACTGGTGTTTCAGGCGCTCCACGGAGCAGGTTGTTCGTCAGCCGCTAGGTGCCGTCCGGTTCCCGGCTCGGGCGTCCGTGGGCGGCTACGGGAAGCGACAGGAGTCAGTCCTCGTTCACTTCCCGGCTCTGCCGCTGTGGTCTCCCCACCCTCCCGGCGCCGTGCCTTCTGTGTATGGAGCGTCCCTGGCGGCTCTGCTGGATTTTGGACAGGGACCCGCCACTGATCGCCACCCAGCTCGGCCTCCTGCACAGCCTCTGGGGCCTTGGACCGCGACTGGCTTGCTGTGGGAGAGCACAGAGGATAAGGACAAAGAATGTGTCCTGGGTGGATCTGGCTGCCTTTGCCCCGAAGGCGGAGTGGGGTGGAAGGTGGTAGGAAAATGGGAAGGAAAGAAGAGAAAGGCTTTCTCTTCCGCAGCAAGTGGGCCGACGTCCACTTGGCTGTTCCAGGCCTCCAGGTCTAGGAGGGCACTCAGGGCTGGGACTTTCCGGGACCAGAGTGATCACCGCACAGGCCCCGCCTGCCTGGACCCAGCGCTGGCCTTCCCGGGGCGCCCAGGTCCACGGGGTCAATGCCAGGGTCTTCTCAGCTTCCTCGTCTGCCTCGGATCGGAGTCCAGACAGTGCCAGAAGAGACCTGAAGGCACTGCTTTTTGACGGTGCACACCTCTGGATGTAGGCGAAACTGGGGGAAGGGTTCAGTACCTTGGACTGTGCCCAGCTCAAAGCGCCCCATCCGTTAGTGATAACATGGACTCGCAGCCACTCCGCGTCACTCGCTAGTTACCCTGCGCGTGGGTGTTTTCTCCAAATTGGACATTAGGGAACAGTTTAAGCAGTATGGAGCACAATTCTGTGCGTATTAGATGCTCCGTAAATACCCAACTTCTCAGGGCTCTACACTGATAGTTTGACCTATTGGCTGTAAACACACCAGCCAGAAATATAAATAAAGTTTGAAACAAAGTCATGTCAGCCACTTGGAATGGCTTGCTGCTTATTGTTTGTTTTGTGTTAGGGACCTCAAAGTTCTCATCTTCTCTACTTGACTTTTATCCACATTTGTTTGGAAAGATATATTTTAGTGTCACCAACATGGGCTTTCTCCTCCTTGGCTTTTGTTTTCATTATTTATTTTAATCGAGGAATTCATTACAAGTCCCATAACTGGGAACTCATGTTCTGATTCACTGTTGCTTTTCTCTCCTCCTTACCCATTTTCCAAGTTAGATACACTTCTCAAGATCCAATTTGAATAAGTGAATTTACCCTTGACATACACTGCCTTGGATTTATAGTTATCTTCTGGTGTGTGTCGTGTGTTTTATCTGTCCAACTCGACTGTAGTTTGAGAATGAACTTGTCTTATACATTCCCCAGTGCACAGTGTAATGCTTTGCATAAAATAGATATCAATGTTAGGTTGAAGTGTTAGATTATTGATAAAGTCAGGAGCAACTGAATATCTTCACAATTCTGCCTGAGTCTCCCCCGCCCCCACCCCCTTTGAGACAGGGTTTCTCTCAAGTGATCCTCCCACCTCAGCCTCAGGAGTAGCTGGGACTACAGACGCACGCCACTATGCCTAGCTAATTTAAAAATTTTTTTTTGTAGAGACGGGGTCCACTATGTTGCCCAGGCTGGTCACAAACTCCTGGGCTCACAGTATCTTCCTGCCTTGGCCTCCCACAATGCTGAAATTACAGACGTGAGTCACCAAGCTGGGCCCTGAGTCTACCTAGTACTTCTCCTTTACAAAGCTAAAATAAGTTGAAATAAGTACACATAAATGCTGTGTTTCTTTCGTAAGTCATATTTAGGCACAAATGGGGCTGAGTAAAAGGGCCAGAGAGTTAACAAAGAAAATCTGGATTAAAATGTTCATAAATCCTAAGAACTTATTCCTAGAAATATCTCCCTCATTTGGCACTGTTGTTCAACTAGCTCAGTGTGTAATTTTAAATAAGCAAATATTCACTGAATGCCTATCATGGCCAGGCACAGCAGTAATGAATACTAGCATGCAAAGGACCTCATGGGCCCTTTTAGATAGAGTCCCACATCTCTTACATTATTACTGCAGTACCCAAATTGGTCTCCCTATTTTCGCCCTTGCCCCTCTGCAATTCAGTCTCAACACAGCAGCCAGAGAAATCATGATAAAACGTAATTCAGATCATGTTAATCCCTTACTAAAAACTACTTTTTTT